GCAGTTACTGATCCTGCAAGAATCCACCTGGTCAGTGGGTCATGAGCCCATGTCTACTTGTGAGTGACCAGCTCAGATACCTGGGCCTCTGGTTTGATAATATTGCCAGATCATGTATTAATGTAAATGTTTAAAAAATTATTATGTCAGGGCTGATGAGATGGCCCAGCCAGTAAAGTACTCACCTTACAAGCATTAGGGCCTGGGTTCAAGCCCCCCAGGACCCACTTTAAAAAGAAGTGAGGTATGGGGTATGGTGACACATGTTTATCTCAGCACATGGGGAAGTGGGAAGAGGAGGGTACTGGGGCTCACTGACCGGCCTAGCCCGCTTGGTGAGTTCCAGGCCAGTGAAGGACCCTGTGTCAAAAACAAGATGGATGGTACCTGAGGAACAACACCTGGGGTTGTCTTCTGACCTACACATTCACAACCATGTACACACACACACACACAGACTGAGACACATGGGCAAACACAAAAATGACTCTGACAGATTCTTGCATGCCTGCCTATGAACTATTCAACCCTTCTTTCTCATTCATAAAAATCTCTGTATGACTGAGAATCAACTATATAGCAGCTAAATTCCCCATGAAATGCCACGGTTGTATGGGACTCCCACGAAAACTCCTCAAAGACAGATGACTCAGTTGGAAGATAATTCACTTGTATCTTCTTTGTCCTCTCTGAAATGTGCATAGGACTGGATTCCAGCAGCTGTCATGTGGGCTGTGAGGTGACATGTACAATAGAAACTAGCACTGAGAATGAATGATAAAAAACGAAGACTGGGTTCCTGATGGCCTTGGGCAATTCTACCCACATCCAAACTTCTTTGACATTCGAGAGAAATAATGTGTAAGTCATTGTTACTCTGTCATATACAGATGATCCTACACATAACTAATAAGTGACGCGACAAAGAAAACCACAAATTCTAAATGGCAGACTTATAAAGATCATGTTCTCTAAATAAGGTTATGCTATAATAGTAACAAATACTTTACTAAGTACTTTACTAAAAGGAACCACTTAATCTCAACCAAGGAGCTGGAGAGATGGCTCAGCAGTTAGGAGCAGTGGCTGATCTTGCCGAGGACCTGGGTTCAGTTCCCAGCACCCACATCAGAGAGCTCACAAACTCCTGTAACTCCAACTCCAGGGGATCCTATGCCCTCTTCTGGCATGTGCAGGCACCTGCACACACATGTACAAACCCATATACAAGAACACATAATTTAAAAAACTCCTGGGGCCAGAGATATGGTTCAGTGATTAAGAGCACACACTGCTCTTGCAGAGGATCCAAGTTCAGTTCCCAGCATTATACTAAGTGACTAACAACCATCTGTGAACCCAGCTACAGGGAAATCTGACACCTCTGGCCTCCATGGCCACCTGGATACCTGTGCATACACACACACACACACACACACACACACACACACAGAGAGCGAGAGAGAGAGAGAGAGAGAGAGAGAGAGAGTGAGCGAGAGAGGCAGAGTTAAATTTTCAAAATTATAATTTCAAACTTATTTGGAAAACAGTAACATAGGGTTACATTATATATCTTTATACATAAAAATATATGATACCAGTACCTTTAAAAGGCAAATAACAGCCATAAACACTTTCAAGACAAAAAAAAAAAAAAACAAGAAAAGCAGGATGAGGTCTGAGAGGGATGGCTCAGTGGGTAAAGGAGCTTGCCCCAAAGAACTATGACCTGAGTTCAAGCCTTGGAACCTACCTGGTATGAGAGAACTAACTTCATCCATGTACCATGGCATGTGCACAACACCCCAAAAAACAAAGTAATAAAAATACTTGTTTAAAGACTACCAGGCCAGAACTGTGGCTCAGTTGTTAAAGTATTTGGTATGCACTGGTATGCACCAAATCTGGGTTCCATCCCTAACAACACATGAACCAGGTGTGGCCTTGCCTGCCTATGAACTCAGAGCTCTGGAGTTAAAGACAGGAGGGTCTGAAATTCAAGGTCATCCTTGGCTACATGGCCAACCTGGACTACTATTACTGGTCTACCATTCTACCAACTAAAACATTTCTTCCTTCCTTCCTTCCTACCTTCCTTTCTTCCTTCTTCTTTTCCTTCCTACTTTCCTTCTTTCCTTCCTCCCTCCCATCCTTCCATTTTTTCTTTCTTTCTTCTATTTTCTTTCCCTTTTGAGAAGTGACCTGACTGTGTTGACCTAACTGGTCTCAAACTTCACAGCTCAAGTGATCCTCCTGCCTCAGCCTTTAGTGGAGTTCTAAATCTAAGCACAAGCCAGGGAATCTGACTTCAAAAGAATAACTGTACATAATAATTTGTATGTACATGCATGGCTAAAGTCTGAAGCTAAGCCAGACTTCAGGCAGAGGTAACTTCTGTGGAAAGACTAAGGATGAGGTGTACAGTAAGGACATGTACTTCTGTTTGCATTATTTGAATTCAAAGCTAAGAAGACAGTGATGTACTGCTTATATAAATATTCAATATTTTACTTTTAAATGTTAATTTCTTTCAGTCATGGTCTCATGTATCTTAGGGTTTTGAACTCTTTGTTGCTGAAGCTGGCCCTGAACTCCTGATGCTCATGTCCCCATCTCCAAAATTCTGGGATTACAGGCATGTGCTAACATTAAAATATTCTTTATAAAAAAAACTCTTGGTGGTATTTTTGAATCCCAAAGAACATATTCATATATTACTTGTATAAAATATACATTTTTTCTTTTAATCCTAGAGATATTTTTGGACTCCAAAGATAAGAGAAAAACATATCAAATGATTCCCCAAGAAATGGAAAAATTTACTTACAAAAGAAAACACATTTGAGCCAAATATTGTTCATGCCTGAAAGGGGGGGAAAAGGCATTGCCTGCAAAGCAAAGATGCAGACAGCGGATGGTACACAAGCTCCAAGTGTTACTCAAAAGAGCATTCTGGCCAAACACAAAGCCTACACAACCATGATGCTGAGACAATTGTTGATAAGACTCTAAATCATTTCCAAAAAATTGGCAGGTGTATACAAGCAAAGACTAGAGGAATAGCCAGGCTTGGTGGCACAGGACCACAATCTTATTGCTCAGGAGGCTGAGACAGGCTTGGGAGTTTGAGGCCAGCCTGGCCTACATAGGTGAACTCATCTCAACAAAAAGACAATGCCCCAAAACGTGAATGGAGTTCTTGATCTCTCTCTGTATTCAGCAACACTCTGAGACAGGCTTCTTAGACAAAAGTCCTGGAGGGCAGAGTTTGTCTTCTCCACCTTTGTGTCTCCAACCTTATTCAGAGTCCTTTATGAAACAAATGTTAGGGGAATACACTTTTAGAAAGTTCCCTTTCCTGGGAGTCTCCGCTGGTGAGCCTCTGAACACTGTAATAATAGTTACTCAACTGAAAAACACAGGACAAAATGGTATACTAAGCCCCCTCCTTGTTAGGTGGTGAGACACACACACACACACACACACACACACACACACACACACACACACACACACCAAACACAGCACAGGATAGGGACACTATTTGACCTTGATATCTATAATGTTCTCCTATGTAGAATGTAACATATCTGTGCTATGTGAGTGAATGGTCATCACCAGAATTAGGAGGGTCCCCTTCCAAAGGACCCATGAAAACAATTGCTCCTATATAAACCTGGAATAAAATGGAAAAGTTAGGGTGTTGGTGGTGCACACCTTTAATCCCAGCACTCGGGAGGCAGAGACAGGTGGATCTCTGTGAGTTCGAGGTCAGCCAGGTCTACAGAGTGAGTTCCAGGACAGCCTCCAAAGCCACAGAGAAACACTGTCTCGAAAAACAAAACAAAAAGAAAAAAAAAAAAAAAAGGAAAAACTAACCAAGTATAATTAACAAGCCAGAAGAGAAAACTGAAAGCTGGGTTAGAGAGGGTGGGATATAGCTTGGTTGGTAGAGCGCTGCCATGCAGGGGGTCCTGGGTTCCAACTGCAGGGCCACATAAGGCAAGTACGGTGGTGTACATTTGCAATCCCAGGACTCAGGAGGTGGAGGCAGGAGGATCAGGCCATGCAGAGAAAGTGTCCCCCCAAAAACAAAAAGAAGCAAAACCCCAAGGACTGTGGATGGGCTCAGCGCTAAAGAACTGCTTTAGCCAACACAAGGCCTTAGGTTTGATCAAGAGCATTAGTGGGAGTTGAATAAAAAATGAATATGGGGGGGGGACAAACAAGTTTCAAAATTAAAAGTGCATGTAGAAGATGAAGTTTTCAAGCACACCCACGTCTAGGGGATAAGATGTTGCTCACTCTGTCCCTGGTGCTTCTCACTTCCTCAGAGGACTGTGGAAATGCTATAGCCTTCTCCATAAGAGCCAACAGGAATGACAGCATCGCTTCCCTGCTGGGCTCCACCCTTCTCCACCCAAAGCGAAAGGGACAGTGACTCCTGCTTTTCATTCCCAGGGCTGTTCTCACACATACACAGAACATACACCCATACACTATATATACTATCACTTTGCACATTTTTAAACATGATATAAATGACATCAGCGAGTATTACTACTGTGCTACTATTTTCTCATTCAACACTGTTTTTCAGACTTAATCCATATTCATAACACAGAATACTTAACACAGGAAAGAAATCATGAGCAGGGCTAAACCCGACTCCAAAACCAAACAAAAAGAACACCAGAAACCGTTTCTGAATTAATTTGCAACTTCAATTTCCAAGGTGCCCTTGTCTTCCGCTCCCCGGTTCCTTTGGAGAGCTTCCAGTCTCCAGTGAGGGTCCAAGGCACTTCCCCACCCTGGGTGGGTCAGCTCCTGGTGGGGCACTGTGTAGGAGCAAGGGAAGACGGATGTGCAAGCCCTTTCTCCCAGCAGTGCCCCACCAGGACAGCAAACTAGATCCTCTGCCAAGTATTTATGAGCAATGATGCTGTTAGACATTTGAAGTTTCGTTTTGGAAAAGAAAATCCTTTGCAGGTCAGACTTACAATTGGCGTCCCAAAAGGAATGTAACCTGTGGAGGTTGGGGGAGAGAAAAAGAGTCAGGACCCATGAGATACCCAGAAGCCTTTGGGGCTTGCTCTGCTCCGTGGACCTGGTGAAGAAGTCCAGGACAACCACAGAAAGTCACCACAGCCTTCTCCCAACTCAGCTTTCCCCATAGCAAAGGACTCCCCACCCCTCAAACTCCGCCCCTCTCCATTTCCCAGCTGCCAGACAATCCCAGCTCCTTCCAGAATCCAGAAGCTGGCCTGCAGAAAGAATAGACTGCTGCTTGTCACAGTGGTCCTCTGAACCTTTTCCTCCCTGAGGCATAATACCCCATCCCTATGGTTTTATTTCCTAAGAAGCCCTAAGCATCTTCCTTCAGCCTTTTTTTTACTACTACTTCACAACCATTCCTGGGACAGGCATTCCCTCTCCACCTGAGATGGGCATGTGTTAGATGCTAGAGCATTTAAAAGCTCTAGTGTTCTGACTAGCCAACCTAGGAGAGCAGCAGAGCACTGGGCAAGATTCAGCCAGGTCCTGGCCTATGTGCAAGGCTTCCTCACTGCCGTTAGTGAGCAGCCTCCTGTCCCTTAGCCTCTGGCTTGCAGTAGACAGTCAGCTGATGGCCAGGCACCAGGGACCATACTTATGAATGGCGTGAAGAACCCAGGTCCACATCCCGAGCAAACACAGCTTTGTGTTCTGATGCCACGGCTCTCCTGCGTCTCCCTCTGGGGACAGGGCCAAGTTTTGGGGGGTAGAATAAGGGGGCTGAAAGGAATGCCTGCCTCAGAAAGGTCCAGAATTATAAAAGAAGGCAAGCTAAGGTGAGAGCTTGCTCTGCCCAGAAGAGAGACAGTGTACAGCTCCAACTCTAGGCCCTATATGTTCAGAGCCTTTGCTGCCTAAGCCGTCACAGAAAAGTCAGGGCTCCTAGGTGCAGTGCCCCAATTTGCAAAATGGCATCATGCAGCCACATCATGGCTGAAGTCAGGCTTTCTGAGGCAGGGAGGGTAGGTATCCTTGTCTGACTGAGGTCTCCTTTTCCAGCCAGGTGGAGGCCTTTCCAAGGCAGCAGACAGCAGCCCTCTACAACATTCTCATGAACCAGTGGGTGACAACAGCCAGAAAGAGATGGTAACAAGTCGGTGTGAGAATATCCCTCTGCAGAGACTTGAGGCAAAATCCATAACCTCAGATTAGGGGAAGGGCCCCCATCTCAGCCTGCACAATTGTACTCTGAGTCCCAAGTGTGAAACATACAAAATAGCCCTCTAGGAACTACCAGACAGGGACTTCTTGGGGGCAGAAACTCATCACCCCTGTGCACATGGGCTCCACCAAACAGGAACCCTGCCTCGTCCAGATACACAAAGTTCGTGAGTCGGAGGACAGTGAGTTAGTCTAGATGCTACGGGCTAGAATAGGGAGCAGATAGAGAGAAAAAAATGCATTGCAAGGGATCACGTGGGACTTGAATAAGACAGAGCTTGCCCAAAACAGGCGACATGGGGCTGCCATTAGGAAGGGGTTTGTGAATCAGTGGAGGCTAAAATCCACTGCAGAGGCCACAGTGCCACCACAGACACCCAGGTGGGAAGGGAGGCAGGTGTGAGCCTGGTCAGTGTCTAACAGGGTTGAGCTAATGTCAACATATGGGCAAGACTGTGGCTGTATGTGTGACAGGCCATGCCCTTCTCTGCTGCTGTGCTGTGACTACTACCTCCAAACTGAAATATTCACTTCTAGAAGAAGCGGGGCTCAGAAGATGGAGGTACTTGCAGCAAGGCTCGGGATGCTCAGAAAGTATCAAGACACCCAAGGCCCCCTCTGATGCTATAGAAGCAGCAGACACTTGCTGAGGGGACTCTTTTGGTGGAGCTGCCTGCAAGGTGGACAGGGAGTGCCAAGGATGCTGCTGTCCTGAGTTGCCACCTGTGGGATGGGATTTTTGGTAATGGTCCTGCCTGAGAGCCAGCAATTCTCCTTTAAGTAACCCTAATAAAACTTGGTGGCTCACCAAGAGATTTGAGTGCACTCTTTCTTTGGGATGACCTCAGCACCCTTTCTGGGGTAAATGCATGTTTTTTTCATGTCTTCCCAGGAAACGTCATATAATATCTGAGCATGTAGCCATTCCTAGCTGGGGCCACAGCCAGCACCCCAAGCTGGGCCGAACCAGGAGGAACTCACCTGACATTCTGAAAGGCATGAAGATCTTCTCGTTGGTGTCCGGGTGTAGGATAGCCTGATGGTGGGGAGAGGATGCGGACAGACAAGTGGACAATTAAGGATGAGCGCAAGGACAGCTTCCCCAAGAAGACCCTCCCATCAGTGGCTCCGTATTGCTCTGGACAGGTGGTTTCCACCACTTCTCGGGATAAAGGAAAACTCAAACATGAGCCATGGTCAGTGTCTTCATCCTGGCCCATCCTCAAGCCCATGGGGGCCAAGACTGTGCCCACCTGGAAGCTTCTCTGCCCTTGCCTGGCACACAGCAGACACTGAATCAGACCTGGTGATCAGAACCCAGTCTTTTCTTGAAACTCCCAGAGTTCCTGGGGTGAGGCCCTTTAGGCCAGAACGGGGGTCCTAGGAGGAAGGAAGGGGTGGGAGAAGCTGGGTACCCATTAGTCGTGGAATCTGGACTTCTGCTAGACCCCTGGGACAGGGAGAGAAAGGGTCTAGGAAAGCACAGAGAAGGAAAAAAAACAACAACAACAACCCAGAGATAGATTACCTGTTTGATTTTCTGTGCACCCCAGAGCTGGAAGAGAGAGAGAAATAAGAAGTTTAAGCTCTGTGGGCCATGTTTTCTTTTGTTTATTGTTTTAAGATTTATTTTTATGAGTAGATATGCATGTTATCTGTGTGAGTATATGCAACACGTGTGTAGCTTGCCTAGGTTGGAAGGGGACTAAGATCCCCTGGAGCTGGAGTTACATACAGTCGTGAATTACTCAGTGTGGAAGCTGGGAAAGCAGCCAGTGTTCTAGCCACTGAACCACCGCTCCAGCCCCCAACTTGTTTATTTTTGAGACAGGAGATCCTGTAGCCCATCCTGGCCTCAACCTCAATATGCAGTGACAATGACCCTGAACTCTTGATCCTCCCGAAGCCTCTACCTCAAGAGTTCAGATTAAGGTGGTCTACCACATCAGCTGATAGGGTACTGGGGATGGAACTCAGGGCTTTGAGTATGCTAGCCAAGCATACTACCAACATGGCTACATTCCCAGCCCACTTTTTTTTTTGTTTTGTTTTCCTTCTTTTTGCTAAATTCAAATTTTTAATTAGCACATCTTCATTATGACATTTTTATACATATATGTCATTGTACCTGGCTGGCACTGTGTTTTCTAACCAAGGGAATTTTGAGACAGGGTTTCCTGTAGCACAGGGTGTCCTTGAACCTACTCTTCCTGTCTCTACTTCCCCAGGGCTGGGGCCACAGGTGGGTACCATGATAACACATGCTTTTTGAATCAAGAAAACATGACAAATGAACATCAACACTGGATAAAATAGTGGCCTGTGCAAAGGTATGTGAGCTAGGTGCCTGTGAGCCCAGCAACTCAGGGGGTAGAAACAGAAGGGTCTGGTTCAAAACCACCCTGGGATACTTGAGACTGTTTCAAACTGATGTTTGAAATACCTAAGTGAAAAATTCCTTCCTCAGTGAGCCTAGGTATGTACACATACAGAAATAATTCAGAGGAAATGAGACAACTTGGGAACTGAAGAGAACTTTGAAATCTCTGAAATTATCTTTAGAAAGAGAGACAGGATGGTGCAAGGAAAAAAGGAGGGCACAAACCCTCACTCTACCACTTCCTGGATAGGAAGCTAGTCTGTCTGCCTTTCCCCCTCTCTTTCTTCATTTTTCTTCTCTCCTTTCAACCTTCCTTTTAAAAAACATTTATGTTTAGTTATGTGTACGTGGAGGGGTTGTATGGGTATATGCGTGCAGGCGAATACAGAAGCCAGAAGCCAGAAGCCAGAAGCCAGAAGCCAGAAGCCAGAAGCGGGCGCCAGATCCCTTGGCATTGGAATTATAAGCCATTGTAAGCTTCCCAGTGTGGGTGCTGAGAATCAAACTCAGGTCCTCTGTAAGAGGAGGGTGTACTGTTAACTGCTGAGTCATCATTCCAGCCCAACATTTTGCTTTGACTTTCAAGACATAGTCTTATATATCCCAGGCTGCTCTCAAACTCTATGTGATGTGACCTTGAAATCCTGACCCTCCTGCCTCCACCTCCTGGGCGCATGTCATATTTTACATAGTGTCCCATGCATAGTTGGAAAGCACTCTACCAACTGAGTGAGCTACACCCCCAGCTAAGACTTCTACACAGGGGTGTGAATGGGTGGAGGCAATGTCAGGTGTCTTCAATAGCTCTCTTTCTGATTTGGCTGGACTGACTGGCCAGTGAGCTCCTCTGATCCTCTTATCTCTGCATCTCCAACATCTAACTCAAGATCCATGCCACCCCTAATGCTGGCTTTTGCATGGGTGCTAGGGATTCAGCTCAGTTCCTTATGCTTGCATGACAAGCACTTTACTGAATGAGCAGCTCCGAAGCCCCCAAAACCTCCTTATTTATTCTTTGCTCTTTTTACGCTTCTAGAATTCTGTTCACATATATAGAATTCTTGTTCACATATCACCTCTTCAAAATTAATTGATACATACATACACACACACACACACACACACACACACACATACACACACACGCGCGCGCGCGCGCGCGCACGCGCACACACACACGGTAGGGCTGGCTGTAAAGAGCCAGATCACATGCTCAGCATGATCAAGACCGTGGACTCACACTGTAGATTAATCAATTAAGTAATTAATGTAATAAAGGCAACCAATGGAAAAAAAGAAACAACGTGCATTTGAACTTTTTCATGAACCAGGCTTAGCGGCACACACCTTTAATCACTGAAGGGCTGGCTCTCTAACAGACCCCAAGCATGGCAAACACAGGCCCAAGCACAGCAAACATGGCGCCAACAGGTGTTGCCTTTTACCCTTCTCTCTCCCCTGCAAAAGCCATTAGATTGCATTCCTAAAGATAGCCCTCAAGGTCCATTCCCTTATTTGGCCACTGACTCATTCCTGAGACAAAACTCCAAGGTCCAACAATCAAAATTCATTGACTACCCTAGCTAGCCTGTCCAATAAGGGCTTACCACCGTAGTACACCCTAGCACAGACTTTTTCTTCTTAACACCCACTCCTGGAAAAAACAAACAAACAACTTTTGCTGCTGCTGCTGCTGCTGCTGTTTGCTGTCTGCTTTTGCCCAATCCAGAGGTGCCCCCTCTCCTCCCCCCAACCTCCACCCTGCTTGCCCCTCGGGGTAATAAGTCTCCTTTATGCTGAGAACTTGGTGTCTGGATGTGTCCAGTACCAACTCCCAGGAGCCAGGAGCCAGGGGTTGCCCTCCCCTACAATCCCAGCACTCAGGAGGCAGGTAGATCTCTGTGAGTCCATGGCTAGCCTGTTCATAGTGAGTTCTAGGACAGCCAGGGCTACACAATGATACCCTGTCTCAAATAATAATAATGATAACAGTTATAATGGGTATTTTTGTTCTTGTTTTGGTTTTTAATGAAATAGGGTATCCAGCATCCAAATCCTTTATTGACCCCTATTGTATATGGAAGATTAAATATCCAACAAAATCCCCACAGCTAGAGCGCAGTGGCTGACCAGGTAGGGGTCTGGGTGACTGAGCTCCTGTGGCAGAGAAGTGACATGAACCTTTTCCAGGCCAATGCTCCCCACCCCTCTATCTTCTGCTCCCTCCTATGTGTCAGAGCTAGGCAGGGCTGCACCAAGGCCTTGTTGATGCTAACAGGACACCACCAGGGGAGGGTAGAAACACACGACCCAAAACGAACATTCCTTCCTTCCTCTCTGCCAAGAGCAAAGTGACTGTACACAGGATCAGGCTCTTTGGCCCTGGCACAGCCTTGTATTCCTGGTTAAATTCCCACACACCTTTGGCTTGTACTTGGTTTTTTTTTTTTTTTTTTTTTTTTTTTTTTTTTTTTTTTTTTATTCCCCCCCCCCTTTTTTTTTTTTTGTTTTTTTTTTGAGACAGGGTTTCTCTGTGGCTTTGGAGGCTGTCCTGGAACTAGCTTGTGTAGACCAGGCTGGTCTCAAACTCACAGAGATCCGCCTGCCTCTGCCTCCCAAGTGCTGGGATTAAAGGCGTGCACCACCACCGCCTGGCTTTTGTACACTTTTTTTTTTTTTTAAGTCAAAGCACACATGTAAGCCCAGCACTGAGACAGGAGGAGCCTGATTCTGGGCCAACCTACAGTATGGCATGTTCCGGGCCAGCCTGGGCTACATGGAGAACAATTGTCTCAACAAATCAAAAATGAATAAACAAAAATTTAACCAGAGCTGGTCATGGGGACATATGCCTACAAAACCCCCAAATTCTGGAGACAGCAGGAAGAGGACCAGAAGTTCAAGGCCATCCCAGCTACATCGTGAACATGAGGTCATCCTGAGCTACATAAGACCCTGTCTCAAATAACAGCAACAACTGGTCAGAAGAGGAAGGAGGTGGAACCCATGCCTCTTCCGGTTCTGTCTACCATACCAACTCAAAAGGACAGGGTAAGGACACTGGCTACAGTTCTGGCTGGGCTTTCCCCCACAACCTGCTGGGCCCATGAATTAAATGCTAGATTCAGAAGAGACAGCAGGTACTGCCCACAGGGAAAAAGCACTCGTAAAAACAGATCACAGAGAACAACCACCCTGGGACATACAACCTCACATGGAAGGCCAACTGAGCCACGGTGGCCGGCCACCCACATGGAGAGTCCAGGCCAGGATCTTCCCAGCAGCACACAGAGGCACCTTCACTCTGAACTGCACTCCCAGGTTTAGCAATGACCTCCTTTGTACTCAGTCTAGCACCCTCTGGGCCTCTGGCCGAACGTGGAACTGTGCAGCCCTGACCCTGTGGGACTGACTGGCTTTAGTAACCACCCTGCATGGATCTGAGAGTTGAGACTGTTTGTTTGGCTCACTTGGAGAACAGGGACAAAGGGCAGTATAGGGAAGCCATCTGGGTGGCTGTTACAACACAGAGATTTACTGATTTCAGAAGTGGCCAGTGTCTGAGATAAACCTGCCTCAGTCTCCAACTGGAGACCAAAGGAGGGGTGGGCTGGGGTCCCACATGCTGCTAGGAGACAGGACACACCCCAGCACCCAGAGGGAGAACAATGGCCCCACCCCCAGTCTGGCTCGCTTACTTCCCCCCCAGTCTCCTAGCAAGCTGCTTCTCTAAACCTCCTAAGGCAGCAAAGACAGAGCCTATTTAAAACAACCTCCAGAAGGTAATTAAACAGAGCCTGAAGGGGACCCTTCTGTACGGGAAGGATGCCTCCATTCAACAAACAAAAAACTTCCTAATTGATCATTTGGGCCCATTGTATTATAGTGCACCATTAATTGCATTGCCATGGTAACTCCCAGGTACCAAGTACCTATACACTCCTATGTGGGGTGAAGGGAGCCCCCCAATTCTACAGATTCAGGAATGAAGAGGGATGTTCTGCCTGCTTCTGCAGCAGCTGTGGCTTCATGACACATAAAGCGTCTCTCTGAATAGAGGTCAGGCCCTACAGAGGAACTCAAAATCTCCCATTGGCTTACTAGGAGATGTGGGGTGATTTACTTAATCTTTCTAGGCCTCCAATACCACTTCTGTAATATGAATATAGGGATATATTTACTTTCGTGTTTATTATAAAAGTATTTACTTAGTGAGCAAATGTTTATCAAGCACCTACTACATATTAAGCACTAAAAAATCTCAGTGTGAAACAATAAGGTAGCTCAGTGGGTAGAACGCTGTCTTAGTATGCCTAAGTCTTGGTTTCCATGTCATCATCACATAAACCAGGCAGGGTGGTACATGTCTATAATCCTAGCACTCTGGAGGTGGAGGGGAGTTCAAAGTCATCCTCGGCTACATACTGAATTTAAAGCCAGACTGGAACACATGAGACCTGCAACACAGCAATTTCCTCCAAACTAAAACATTCCCTCCAGGAGAGAAGATCATGAAACTCAAGAGGTAAACAAAGTCACACATCTGGGAAAGCAGAAACTTGGAAGATTCTGGAAGGTGTTTCCCAAGGGTTGTGGGAACAATATAACTGCTGGGGGAGGAGGCTGACCAACCAGGCTGAGAGAGACACTAGCATATGGAGCTCCTGCAAGTCATGCATCCTTCATTGGTGTGCCAATGCTTAGGAAGGCAACCGTCTGCAGAGAAGCTGTCAGCTGTCCATGAGCTAAAGAGCAAGCGAGGCTACAGAAGCAAACCACCTGGGATGGCTTAGATGACTAAGAGCACATACTAGGAATCCAGGCAGCTCAGGACATCAGTGACAGTGGCCAGTGCAGGACCCCCATACCTGCCAAAGGGCCTTGGAGCAGATAGATTTCAGGTGTAGAGACCAAGACTACTGTCTACTCCAAGTCCAAGAACTCTGTGGAACTCTTCAAACGCCCCAGACATGCTTGAGCAGGGCCTTCCCTGAGCTAGAACCTGGAGCTCTCCTTAATTTCACACTGCTGTGAAGCTGACATGTCATCTCTGTCCAGTCTGTGACTTTGTTGACTGAGGCCCAAGGGAAGAAACATTGTGACAGCCATCACACAGGGCCCAATTTTTCAGGCTCTGCAGAGAGGGATGCTGTTCTTAGGGACCAGAGTGACAGGCTCACACCTAGAGTAGTGTGCCACCCAGCCACCAGATGGACCCACCAGGCACTACCACTGCCAGCCAGAAGGCAGCAGCACAGGAAGCAGCTAAATGCCAAGCTCCAGGCCCTCCCCCCCCCCACCCTGGAGGCCCGAAGGGGCTTTGGGGACAGAAAACAAAGCAGGCTGAAAAACAGGACAGCAGCTCTCAGCTGTCTGAAGGAGCAAAGAGAATAATGTGGCCTCTATCCCCAAACTCTGAGAGTTGACAGAGGTTCCAAGAGACCCAGCTCATTGGGAATGGGGCATAAGGGTGCTTAGACAGGTAATGGGCCAGAGTCAGGAAGTGGCCTTATTTCTGACAGGTACAAGGACACGGGAAGGTGTGAGGGCCCTTCAGGCTAGAGGGCTGGAGGTTCAAGTCTCCCAAGCGGACCCAAGGCCAGACAGAAATGCCACTACTGGCAACGAGACTATACACAGCCTGCCTTCCTGCTCAGGGCTGGAGGGCAAAAACCTCAAGACAGACAGGACCGCTTGACTGCCTAGGCTTCCTGTCTCTCATTCCCTCAGGGCCCTGCCTAGGCATTTAGCCAAGGCACTGAGGTCACTTTGCCACGCTCGCATCTACATATCTGTCCTGTTCATTTCTTCTGAGGCGCTTCCTCCCTGGACCTTCTGCACACTGTGTATCTTTGTCTGGGCCAATCCCACCACAAATTTGCCTAGCCCACTCCTTTCTCATCCTTGCCTGGACCCCTCCCACCCCAGGCCCCCCCATTATCAGGTTTCTCATCAGCCAATCTCAAGTAAGAAAACTCTTCCTGGCAGGGTGTTGCAGCCTGCACCTTTAATCTCAGCACCCCAGTGGCAGAGGTAGGAGGAGTTTTGTGAGTTCAGGGCCAGCCTGATCTACAATAATGTGTTCCAGGATAGCCAGGATTACATAGAGAGACCCTGTCTCAAAACATCAAGAAACAAAGGAGGGAGGGAGAGGGAGGGAGGGAGGGAGGGAGGGAGGAAGGAAGGAAGGAAGGAAGGAAGGAAGGAAGGAAGGAAGGAAGGAAGGAAGGAAGGAAGGAAGGAAGAATCTCTAACTGCCCTGAGACTGGACAAGTCTCTGCTTCGGCTAGTCTCCCACACTATCAGTTTTCTTCACTATCATTGTCTGGGGCGAGGTGTCCTGTGTCCTGCCACCCTGCTTCATCTTGCTCTCTGTCCTGTAGTGATGGAAGGAAACCTGAGAATGAGGATGTAGTTCAGTGGTGAGCACTGGCCTAGCACACAGCAGACTCCAGCAGTTTCAGATGTCCAACATGTGGGACTTGGGAGATGGCTCTTGGGGAAGTGTCGGCCATGGAACGTGAACACCTGTGTAAAAAGCCTGATGTGACAGTGTACACTTGTAAACCTGGTGATGTGAGGGGAAGAGATTAGTGGATCCTTGAAGAGCAATGGCCAAGCATCATAGCCAAAGCAATGAGCCACCGCTTCAGGGAGAGATGGAAGAAAGACACCCCCTGTCTCCTACACTACTGCATACATGCGCACCCACACGTGCACATGTACACACTGACAAGTACATACTGAGGACTCATGAACACACAAAATATATCTAATATCTGAAGTCTTGGAATTCCAGAATCATAAGAAATTATCAGAGACACAGTATAGCTGAATACGGTGGCTCACTCCTCTAATCCTAGCACTTGGGAGGCTGAGGCAGAAGTACCTTGAGTTCAAGGTTAGCCAGCTCCAGAGTGAAACCCTGTCTCAAAAACAACAACAATGAGAAAACTGTAAACATGTTTTCCAGGACTGCAAAGAACTGTCAGATTTAAAGGGGTCACCAAAAATCAAAACTAATGATGTTTAAAAGACTTTGGATAAACTGGATGGGGAAACTCAAACCTGTAATCCCAGCATTCAAGAGGCTGAGGCAGAAGGAATGCTGTGAGTTTGAAGTTAAGCTGACTAGTGAGAGCCTGTCTCAAAAAAGGCCTGTAGTCCAACCCCTTTTAAAATGGAGAGAATCTGAAGTCAAGAGAACTAAGAGTTCAAGGAGGGGATAAAGAGGATCACAAATAACACCAGAGAAAGAAAGTAGGCAACTGTGGTGGTTTAAAAAAAAAATGGCCCCCTCAGGCTCATAAGCAGTGGTACCATTAAGAGGCGTGTCCTTGTTGGAATGGGTGTGGCCTTGTTGGAGGAAATGTATCTCAGTGTCTTCCTGCTGCCTTCAGATCCAGATATAGAAAGAACTCTTGGCTCCTCCAGCACCATGACTGCCTTATTGCCACCATGCTTCCCACCATGATGACAAAGGACTAAACCTCTGAACTGTAAGCCAGCCCCAATAAAATGTTTTCCTTTGTAAGAGTTGTGGTCATAGTGTCTCTTCACAGTAATAGAAACCCTAACTAAGAAAGCAACTTCAGAAAAATCAGAAATTAAATGGCATCAGATTTTCCAAAAGCCATACTATAGACCAGGAGAAAATAAGCAATGGTCTTCAAAAGTATAAGGAAAAAAAAATTGTCCACCTAGGACTCTCTCACGCAAACTGTCAGTTAAGTCTGAGTGGTGGCATGTGCCTTTAAGGTAGATCTCTGTGTATTTGAGGCCAGCTTTGTCTGCACAGTGAGTTTTGGGACAACCAACACTGCACAGTGAGACCCTATCTCAAAAACAACAATAACCAAAGCCCTCTAAACATGTAAACATTCTTCTCATCCACTCCTTTCAGGGAGCTGCAAGAAGTATTTCACCATAACTACAGGATACACAAAGAGAAGAAAGACCCAGGACTGGCTGGATGTAGGAAATGGGGAAATGGCAATATAGGTAACTTCAAAGTAAAAGGAAGTACTGAAATACTGAATGCAGAAGATACAGCAAGAGCTAGAAGTGGAACCAAGTTTGTCTGTGAAAACCATGGACAATGATTAACTCCAGATAAAACACAAAGTTGAAAAAGAAAAAAAAAAAAGGCCATGATACAAACAACTTGATTCGACTATTCAGGAAGTGTTATTTAATAATTAGAATAACATGAGCAGCTTAAATACAGACCGTACAACCATGATTAAATGCTCAAGGAGGGGAGTGTACGAGAAGGAAGATGTGTCTTAACAGAAGTGGAGGAAATGAGAGTTGACCCCTCAACAGACACAACTAACAGTGAGAAACGGCAGTTCAGAGGGACAAATACAGATTTACATCTGAATACACAGATTTACACCTGAGATGCTGAAAGGAGTTTTTTCTGGTGACCAGGAATAGGACTGGGGGAGTGACAACACAGTGCTTTTTTTTTTTTTTTCCCTTTTTAACTATGTGTAAATATTTTTCTTGAACCCTTTTTAACTATGTGTAAATATTTTTCTTGAAAAATACGTAATTAAGTTTTCTTGTTTGTTTGTTTAGCTAGTTGGTTGGTTTTTCAAGACAAAGTTCCTCTGTGTAACAGCCCTAGCTATCTTGAAACTCACTCTGCAGACCAGGCTGGCCTCCCAAGTGCTGGGATTAAAGGTATGCACCACTACTGCCCAGCCCACAATTAAGTTTTGAAATAAAGTTTCTGAACAAAAGGAAAAACGTTGGCATATTACCCACAGAGTCTAGGATCCCCTCCCCCTGCCCATGGCAGAGGTACCTGCTCATTGGTAACTCCTGGACGGAGGGTGCCATGCTTGTAGTCCTCCAGCAATTGCACAGCCTCTCTGAGACGTCTCTGAAGAGGAAAGAGAAGGGACATTGTGTGGTATCAGACCAATACTTGTGACAGACAGTTCTGCCTTCAAGCAGAGTGACAGTGTTCACATGCATGACCACCATAGCCCTCAGAATTCACGTGAAACATCAGGAAAGGTCCAGCCCAAATGTCCCCCGACAGGGACCTGGCTCAACAGCAATGGTGTGATATACAACAACAGATCAGCCCAGCCCACCCAAAAACTGAAGTAAAACTCAGGAGACGATTTAGTCAGTAAAGTGCTTATAGGAAAACACAAGGCCCTGGTTCAAAACCCAGAAGGCACTAAAAGCTAAAGTGAAGGACTGCATACTTGCAATCCCAGAGCTGGAGGGGTTGAAATGGGAATTCCTGGGGCTTTCTGGCTAGACAGCATAGTCTACTAGGTGAGCTCCAGGCCAAGAGAGACACTGCCTCAAAACAAAACTGTTGAGAGCACCTGAGGAACTGCACCTGAGGTTGACCTCTGGCCTCCACAACCATGCACACCTGTGTGAATGTGTACACACACACACACACACACACACACACACACACACACACCAGAAGTGACTTAAGGGCTGGGGTGTAGCTCAGGACTTGAAGACTTGCTTCATATGCTTTTGGCTCTGAGTCCCATCCCCATCACAGAGGAAGGAAACATAAAACCAAGCAAGCATTTCCTGACCACATCCAGGGTAATTTCCTGAGTGAGAACAAAATGGCCAAGCAGTATAACATCATTCACTGGACCAAACATACACAGAGAGACACAGACACTCAGACACACGGGAAGGAGGCAGCAGGTAAAAGGTTTTCTAGGAGTATATTTATGTACCTATAAAAATAAGGAAAAAGAAATTGAGACCCACCAAGCTCATAACAGGAGTGACTTAGGTTGGAGAAAAAAATGATCAAGGAATGACAAGGAAGAACTCAACTTCAATTGTTACATCAAAAGCTTCTATTAGGTGGATATAATCACATTATGCTTCCATGATTTATTTTTGTCATAAAAAAAAAAAAATACTAGCGGAGGCTGGCAAAATGGTTCAGTGGGTAAAAGTGACTGTAGCTAAATCTGACTACCTGTGTTCAGTCCCTGGAACCCAAGTGATGGAAGGAGAGAACCAACTCTCGCCGGCTGTCCCCTGAATGCCACACATGCACTGAGGCACATTTGCACTCATACTTGCAAGCACACACACATACACACAAAATAAGCGAATAAATTTTTTAAAAATACTACTGACAGATTACCTATTGAAGTACTATGGCTACAACATCTGACAGTCAGGTAGATGGTTGAATTGCATGTGTTTTTTGTTTGTTTTTTTGTTTTTAACTCTTCAAAGCAACACGTGATAGAAGACAGCTTTCATTCACCAACAGACTTGGATAAAAACCTTCAGAACAGTTCTCACACAAGGCCAAGACTACAGATCACTAATAGAAGTGTAGATACACAAATTGGACTATAAGCACTCAATGAAATATCACACAATAATTTGCCAGGAGTGGTGGTGTCTACCTGCAATACCGGTAATAGAGGCAGAGTCAGGGAATCATGAGTTCCAGTTTGGGCTACAGATTAAGTTCCAAGCCAGTGCACACTAAACAATGAAACTGTGTCAAAAGGAAGCAAACAAGCGAGGTACTGTGGCACCCATTTCTAAATCCCAGCACCTAGAAGGCAAAGGCAGATCTCTGTGAGTTTGTAGCTAGCCTGGTCTACACAGGCCAGTGGAAGGCATACACCTAACAATAGTTCTTGTGAAGTGAAGTCGGAAGGATCAGGAGTTCAAACCAGTTTTGGTTACATGGTGAGTCTGAAGGCAGCCTGGGCTACACAAGAAACCCAACAGAGGGAGGAGGGGGGAGGTAAGGAGGGGGAGGAGAAGAAGGAGAGGGAGAATATACAGTGATTAAAAAAAAATAAGCAAGTAAGCCGATGGGTTGGTAGTGCATGTCTGTAATCCTGGCACTGTAGAGGGGGAGGCAGGAACATCAGATCATGTCAGCCATGGTTACACAGCAAGTTCAAGACCTTCAGAATAGCATCCATACATGGCCAAGACTACAGATCACTAGCAGTAGTATAGATACATAAATTGGACTATAGACACCCAATGAAACATGCTGCTTTTTCAGAGGACCCAAGTTTGATTCCCAGTGCCCACGTGAGAGGGCTAACCTGTAACTCCAGTTTCATAGGATGTAAGGACCTCTTTTGCCTCCATGGGCACTGGACTCACAATCACAAATCCGCCCCCCCCAACACACACACACACACATAAAAAATGTTTAAAAAAAATAGCAACAAAGAAACTGAACATGGTGACACATGTCTGGAATCCCAGCATTCAAGAGGCTAAAGCAGGAGGCTCTCGAGTGTGGGGCCAAAAGAAGAAAAAGAAAAAGGGAAATGAAGATATCAGAAGAGGCAGGAAAGCATAAAATACCTCATTCCCAACCACCGTACACAACACCAGGAAAACCACAGCAAAAGCTTAGCTTCTATTCTAGACTCTGAATGGGTTTTTTTGTTTTTTCTTTGCTTCCTTTGTTTTTGTTTTATTTTGTGTTTCAGGGGGAGGGTTTCACTTTGTAGCCCAGGCTAGCCTAGATCTCATCATGTAGCTGAGACTGCCCTCTAACTTTTGGGCAACCCTTCTGCTTCAACTTCCCAAGTGCAAGGACAATAGGTGAGCACCACAATTGGCCTTGTGTTTCAGTAAAATTGGATCACATTGTTTTAATTTGCTTAAGGCTGCATAAGGAGTAAGTTCAGGATTTAGCACTTGAACTAAGTTTCATTAAACCTTTGACAGGCACCCCTAACCCCCAGCACACCAAAACCTCCTAGATGAGCTCAGGGTCCCCAAGCCTGTGTGGCTTCCTTCTGCTGCCTGGGCCTCTACGGGCCTGGACAATGCATGCTCTACTTTCTGGTGAAATGCAGTGAAAAGCCCTGAATTCTCATTATTTCTCCTACCCCAGGGATTCTCCTGAGTTCCTATAACAACCTGGCCAGATTCCATCTCATTTGACACAGTCATCAAAGGCAGCCTCAAGCCAAAAGAATCAGTTCCATTAAGCCCTGAGCTTGGCAAAGAGTGTAAGAGAGAAGGAGAGCCAAAGTTCCTGCAGACAGGCCTGAGGGCCCAGAATAGAGGAAAGCTAGAAGGAACACTTTCACTCTGGGCCTCCAGGCTGGAGTTGGCCTAACTAAGACTTGCTCAAAGGTCCCGTGGGATGGACATGGCCCTAGTCACCTGTGTGGAGAGGCCACAAGAGCTGGCTGCTCTGGGGGGGGGGGGGTTCAGGGAGATTTGGGCTCACAAGAAATGTCTCCTGCTATGCCTGCTCTCCTACCACTCTATTACAGTGCCTGGCAGAAGGGCTTTAGGGAGGAAAAATGCTGGGAGGTCAGAGCCGGGTGAGCTTGGCAGGAAGTCTTTTCAACCAGGAACAAACAGGCAGCTAGTCCCTGAATGTAAAAGTTGTGAGGGGCACAGCTGGTTGGGGGTGGCTGCTAGGCTGTGGCCCCTGCTGTAGCCCCAGGCTGGGAGCACACCAGCCAATGTTGCTGCTTCCCAAGTCTCCATCACCAGCCTGTCTGCCTATAGTCAGTGTGCCTCAAAGAGGTAAGAAGAGCTTCTCCCTATATTCCACAGGGGTATGGTCTCCAGAGGTCCTCTGCAAACACATGTGCTGGGAGGCATGCCTGAGCAGCAAACTATTGGCCTGAGGAGCATCTTGCCCCTGTGGACCTGCTGGGAAGCCCCAAGCAGAGATGAGTAGGAGACTGGGGGACATGGGTCAGTGGTAGAGGGTCACAGTGGTGGTGCACATCTGCAATCCTATTACTTGGAAGGTGAAAGCACAAGAATAGGGAATTTAAGGCTAACTTCAGCTACATAGGGAGTCTGAGGCCAGCCTGGGCTGCATGAGACTCTGTATCAAAAAATAATCAGGAGGTGTCCCAAATACCCAAACAAGTCAGATTATTGCCATTGGCCTTGGATGACCACCAGAACTTGATGGTAAGACCGACCCTATTTCTGAAAATAAATAAATAAATAAATAAACATGCAGGTCACAGGGCATGGAGAAATCAAGAATGTACTAATCATGAAGTTTCCTCCCTGCTGGCTAGCTCTCACAGTTCCAGAAGGTGACATGCAGGTTGCTGGGAAAGAAAAGTCACCAATGGTCTCATCTAGTTGTGAACCCTGTGAGATGCAATAACAACCTGTGTGGCAAGATGTATGGGTTGTTTTTGTTTTTTTTTTTTTTAAATGATATATAGAGTGTAATGGTTTGAGTGAGACTAGCCCCCATAGGCTCGTATATTTGCATTCTTAGTGCCCAACTGGCGAGCCTTTGGAAAGATTAGATGTGCCCTTGTTGCAGGAGATGCATCCCTGGGAGTAGGCTTTGAGTTTTCAAAAGCTCACACCAGGGCCAGTGTCTTCTCTCTCTGTGGATCAGGATGTAAAGCTCTCAGCTACCACCCAGTACCATGCCTGCCTGGATGCCATCATGTTCCCCCACTGTGACGATAGTGGGCTAACCCTCTGAAATGTAAGCAAGCCCCCAATGTTTCCTTGGTCATGGTGTTGCTTCACAGCAATAGAACAGTGTCTAAGACAGAACAAGAAGTTGGGAGGGTGTGGGGGTGGATCGGGGAGGAGCTAAGTGGAAGAGTTGGAGATAAATAAGATCTAAAAATACATTGAATTCATGGTGAAATTCTCAAAGAATAAAAACATTGTATTTTTATTTTATTTTTAATTTTTTGAGACAGGGTCTCTCTATGTAACCCTGGCTGTCCTAAACTCACTATTATGACCCGGCTGACTTCAAACTCTTAATAATATTTCATAATCTTCATAATTTCATAATCTTCATAATCTTTCCTGGTACTACAACCCATTTCCAAGTAAAACGCAAACTTCTCTGTAACCTCTGTGTGATGGCCATTCCTGGTTGTCAAC